AGAGGAGGTCAATGCCCTCGCAGTCTACCAATCATCCTGCCTCAAACCAAGCAGCCGCTGCCAACGAGAATGGGCTCGCGGCAGTGCAAGCTTTAGTGCCGAGGAGAGTCACGGGAGGATTGTGTAGATCCGACAATCCAGTCCGCGGTGTGCGCGGGAGCTCTCACCGGGGGAAAACCGAGCGGGCCTCCGGGACAAAGGTATCCACTGTTTGTGACGTGACGATCGAAATGAATCGGACCTTTAGCCAAACCGAGCGAGCTGAATTACAAAACACAGCGCGGTGTCTTCGACTGTCCGCTCCAAGTCCTTCCAAACTTCCAAGGCTATTCAACAACGGGTTAATTCAACGGTTGTGTCTCAGTTAAGACCGCTACAAAAAGCAAATTGCGGCCCGGTGAGAGGCGTGCCCTAGCTACGTACCTAGTATCAGGTAGGTAGGTAAAGATAGAAACCAACGAACACGAGATAGCACATGCATTTTTCTTTGTGTTCCCCAACAGCTTTAACTGGAGGGTGCCAAATGCACCTCTCGGCGGCATGCCTGCTTTAGTGGCGAGTCGAGTCCTCGAAGCGAGAAGAGAGATAGAGAGAGAGAGACTGCGAGAGGTCTGGCCTGGGCCGGCCGGACGAGTCTGCGCCCCTTTCCCGAACCCACTTGGGTCGGGTGGAGGGTCGCAGTTTGGCAACCAAGAATTTCGACAAAAACTCCTGATTTGTTTGCCATGCGAACCCACTTACCGCGTGGGAGGTTGCATTGTGCAGTCCCATCGAGAATTTCGATAAAACTCCTGGGTGTTTACCATTGCGCCAGTGGTCCATTTGCCTCCGTTTCTCTCTTCCCTCCCCGTTGCGCGCGTAGTGTCTTCTTTGCGAGTTTCCGGCCACCACATTCTTTTGATCAACAACTTTCCCACCCCTTCCACTCTTTTAACTTAGACTTATTCGTAAAGTTTAAGATCAGCAAACATCGATTCAGTTGATTATCATAATCGTTATTCAACGTCCGCTCTTTATACCTAATTTACAGCTATAACTACCTCTGTAAATCTATATCAAGTCCATCATAATGGCCGTCCGAACCGCCGAAGTAGCCGCCCCTGCCGTCACCACCGCACCGACCGGCACTCCCGTGCCCGTCGCGACGGTGGCACTCACGACGACCTTCACGCCGCCCGCAGAATGTACCGAGAACCACTTGACCATGTTGGTCGGCGCCCTCGAGAAGATCTGGATTAACGAGCCCGTACCTCTACCCAACTCGACCCTCTCATCCTGCCACCCCACGCAATGGGTTAACGGCTACTCATCCGCCCTCTCCGCCTCCAGCTCCATCGCACCCTTCATGAGCCCTCTTGTTTGCCCGAGCGGATACAGCACAGAGAGCAGCACCTGGTCAAGCGGATACATTGCCTGCTGCGCTTCGTAAGTTCTCCTAGCCCTACGATCTGAGCCAAGAATAGCCAAGGTTATGTCCAAGATGCTAATTCTACCTGACAGCGGCTTCACCTTCGCTGCACCCGCCAAGACCGCCGACGCCGATCGCCCGGCTTACGGCGGCACATGTTACAGCAACTTCGACCTCAGCCAGACCGCTACCGTCACCGTCTACAACCCTGAGGAACTCTCCACCACCATCGCCTGGGTTGCGACAACAACGCCCGCACAAGCCTACGCTCACCCCATCGACGGTATTGCAGCAGACTACACACCGGGCGCCTCCACCTCAGGTTCATCCGGATCAACAAAAACTAACAGCGCCGGTGTGGCTGTCGAGACGGACGAGAACGCGGCGCCTAGATTGGGAGGTAACTCAAGGGCAGCATTCATTGTTGGGTTCTTGCTCGCGAGTGTGATGATGTGGTAGATTCCCCCCAACTTGCCATTTCAGGCTGCCGGTTGTGATCAGCGACTACAACCATTATGTTACGACTTAAGATTCTGCTTCTTCAACTACCGGATTATCGAGGGAAAACGGCACTTCGCCAGGTCATGTCATTTTGCAATATTACGAAAGAATATTCTTTGGGTCTACCTTACCTCTCTAGTAGCCTTTTATACTACATAATTTTCAACCAAGCTCTGCGTAGCTTATCCTCGTCATCGCGTGGGATTATGGGCCAAAATCACCTGGCACCAGCTCGTACACATGCCCTGCCCGAGTTTCCTTTGTTTGAAGTGGCTGAACATGGAGGAATGTGTCAATGATTTGAAAAGTACGCTGAGTGCGACTAAGTAGGTTTCGACGAGTGCGGTGTCCTACATTCTGCTACGTCAATTCGACCAACTAGTGTTAAGGTACATGTACAGTTGCTTCAAGCCTTGAAGATATGGTAGTTCGGTATCCAGATTCAGAAACCTTCAATCTGGGTCAGGCATCGCCCGATTCAAAGCTCGTCTCTTACCGTATCACGATGGTCATCAAGCGCTTCTTTCAGATTCTCATCCGTCCCTGCCATCTTGTGCAAGTCCGCCCATCTTTCATCTTCGTCTTCATCGTCAATCAGAACCGCCAACCTGCTGACGAATTCGATGAGGGTTTTTCGGTCCGCGTTGAGCCAGGCGGCCTTCGTCAATAAATCAGCATTCATTCTCGCAACGTCAACGAGACACTTAAGCTCTTTGGCGCTAGGAACATAGATAACTTACTTCGGCGTTTTGTATCACGGCCTGCCTGGACTCATACATCTTTTTTGTTTCTTGCGTCACCTTAAAAGTACCCCGAACGCCGAAGATCTTGCACAGCGCCATCCGAGCATGTTCTCGCTCCTCTTCTGTGTCCAACGATGCATCGAGAAATGGCTTGAACTTGGATGTAACATAGGTAAAATTGGTCGCCTCGACAATTTTGGCCCATGCCGCCTGCGTCTCGTTGAGGGGCTCCATCTCGTCATGAAACCTGTTGAAAGCTAGCTGCAATTTGTCGCCGACGTCTTCCCACCCGGCTTCTTGCAACTGAATCTGGAAGTTTCAATGGTGGTAAGTCACAGGTGCAAGACGAAATGTATATATACTTTCTATCCGAAGTTGCCGAGTTTCTTTTATTCGGCATGTGGGATAGACTTACTTCAATCACATCGCGCGTACTAGCATACTTGTATAGGTCCATCCATTGGATGTCCTTCGCTTCTCGCCTCAATACAGTCCCATAAGCTGTATCAAAAACAGCCTTTGCTATTTCAATGTCGCTGAAGGAGTTTGGGAAGGCTGTGCCATTTTCATTGGACATTGAGGACTCGTTCCAAGGCATGTACATGTAAAAAGCCTGGTAAAGGTGGAAGAGAATATTGACCAAAAGGGAGAAGACATGCTTGAAGACAAAGCCACTGGTCCCCATGGTGAAGTTGCGGAGATTCTGTACTAGAATCGAATTCTACCAAGCGACTTTCAATTGGAATAGAAAAGGTAAGGTCAAGAAGCTGATCGAATGCAGGATTTCAGCGCAAACATGACGGACGTTGTAACACTTAAATACTTGGTATGAGCAGTGTCAAGCAGAGCAAACCGCCTCTTTCCTTCTTGGCTTCTGAGGTTTTGGGGCGTCAAATTGATAGAAACTAGCCCTGTTCTCACGCCCACTCGAACCAACAAACGTCCACTTTTCTGCAGCATCCCAGCAAGGCAGCGCCTCTCATGAGGCACATCCGTCAGATACAGTTAGCTCAAGGCCCCCCAGCAATCATCACAGGAAAGATTCACGCCTTGTCATTGGCCCGCACACCTTCGTAGGATTTCCATCCTGGCCTCTTCAGGTACGTAACCGTTAGGAAGGCAAGCGGGATTGATGCGGTTTGTGGGCAGTAGGCTGGAAACGGGCATCCGAAGCCTCTCTGGTCGGGCACAGAAGTCGCATGCAAGGACGTACCTTAGGCTCAATGTGACACCTCATGGCTCAAGGAGGCTGTCTGCCATGGACTGCTACCTTGGCGTAAGACTCGGAGACAACCGACAACAGATGGCCCTTTCCAACTTCGGTGAGAGACATTCGGTATACGCCATCGGAAAGAGCAGCGGCAAAACGATATTACTTGGACTCACCTTTCAATTGGATTCAGCATCGTACATGTAGCGAAGACAAAGATCACTGCATGTACCTAAGCAACACAACGTTGTAGGCTCTCGCCATTCAAGGTGGGCGGATAAAATGAAGCAGAACTTTGTTCGATTTCCTCACTGATAGTGAATGCTACTCCCGATTTTTCAGATCTTCTCCCTTAAGCCTCACCACCTATCATGATACACGTCCCATCAGCAATGTTCTTAATCTACCAGCATCAAGATATCCGGATGCAGAAGCTGGAGCAATGGACGTGGCTGTGCCTCAGTATGACGCCTCACCACGCTTGGCAGAAACCACACAAACGGAACTTCGGTTGAATGCCTAGTTCTTACGCCCAGGACGAGTTGCTCGGAAGAACGCACCAACTGACGATATGTCTCGAACGGATGCAATAAAGATATAACTTCACAGGTCTTCACCTCTCATAGCATGGAGAGCCATATGCTTCAGAGGCTATACCCAAATGGAATTCCCCTTCTGACCTTCACTCTTCACCATGCACTTTCTAGTCAAGTGCAGACAGGATAGTGAGGTAATTTTGGAGTTTCACCCACCAAAGGTGACTCAACACTCGAGGAACCTCGGATTCGTACACCAAGTAAAAGCCGCCTGTGTCATCCCGCAGTTGGAAATATACGGGCCCGGAACCCGGTAGCGCAACGCTGTGACCCGGCCCGGGTCAGAGGCTCCTGCGTCGACTGCACTAACCCCCACCTCGAATGCGGGGAAGCTTGGAGCCTTACCATGCACAGATTTTGCGGGGAGCAAATGGGCAGGTCTCGAATGAGGTCAGCGGTGAGTAGTGCAGAGATATCCTTCCTCCACCCTGTACCTGAAGCAGGCTTTTACATGGGGTATCACTTTTACGCTTAACGCGACTCACTGGTTCAGAAAGAATCCGTTACCGCCAACAACAAATTAGATCTCTTCTATCGCTTTCATGTCGGTAGAAGATTCCTCGCCATGCTCCCCGCGTGCCAACTCCACCACACGACCACGCAAGATTTGGACCCCTGAAGAAGATGTGACATTGAAGACGCTCGTTGCTCGCTACGGAGACGCACGAGGTCCCCAGGGGCATTGGAAAGATATTGCCGCTGCACTCCAAGACCGCACTGCCAAGGTTAAACCCACTCCACCTTCCAGAGGCAATATGGCTATGAGGGCTGACAGACCACAAGGACTGTCGGAAGCGATGGTTTCATTCTCTTGATCCGTCCATCAAAAAGGGTCGGTGGACAGCAGAAGAAGATCAGATCCTCTTGTCGGCTTATGCTCGAATGGGCCCTGCATGGCACGACATCGGTATGCTAGAATCCTGTGATACCCATGTATTATCTCACTCGCTGATACCGGTCTCTTTGCTTGCGAAGCCCTCCTGATACCTGGGAGGAAGGATGACCAATGTTCGAAAAGATACATGGATATCTTGAGTCCAAAAGTCAAAGACCGCCTTAGTGGATGGTCGCCACAAGAAGACGAAGTTCTACGAGAAGGTGTTCGGACGCTGGGTCACCGGTGGTCTGCTTTATCGGCAAAGCTGCCAGGCCGGCCACCTCTCACCTGTCGTAACAGATGGCGAGCACTTTCAAAAACATCCAAAAGGCCTCTGACTACAGGAACACCCTCCCCACGGTCGCCTGCCACAAGGAAGCGTGGCGATGCCACGGCATTTGATGCACCCGAACCCTCCTTAAACTCGCTCCTAGTAGCAACTGAAGCTGATGCCGACATCGGAAACGTCATCGATATCAATGGTATAGTCACATCTATGGTGGAAATGAGCACCGGGCTAGATACGGACGACTTTCGCTTCGTCGGCGATGCAGTGTCTTACAATCCAATCCTACACCAGTCCCAACTCAGCTCAAATCTTCCGCCAAGCTTGGATCTTGGCCACCTATCCGAGCCGCTGCACCAGTCTCTGAGGGAACCCACCTCAAACAGTCACAACAGCACTCCTAAAGAATGGAGATCGAACAAACTTGATACAGAGATACCGCAAACAAATCAGTCTTCTGCAGTGCGCAACTTAGAGACATCGTTCTCGGTTCCAAATATCACTTTGGAGACCCCAGCTCTCTCACCAGATCCAATCTGCTCAAGGATATCCCCACCTCAGTACCTCTACGCCTTCTCTGATGGCAACCTGCCAAGTCAGCCGACGGGTCCTCCTATAGATGTAGAACCACCACAACAAGTTGTACACCACCACCATCATTATCACCACCACTACCATCATCATCACCATCATTATCATGAGACGGAAGAGAACTTGAATGGTTCTTTGAGGCAATTAGAGATAGAAGCAGAGACAAAATCTCTTCAGTCTTAAATTCGACTTTTGGTCAGCCATCTCCTGCGAAGAGGGATGGACAACACGTAGTGTGTCTAGCAATGAAACATGTGAATATGCGTTATTTCGAAAGTAATGTTTTCTTCTAGTAACCGATTGTAATTCGACTTAATGAATAAACAAAATTGCGTCTAAGTGAATGGGGAACGCATGATAAATCTTACGTAGAAAGCAATGCAAACAAAGTATGAAACCCATGTTCATTCACACCATATGAGTTCCTCGTCAATTTCTCAAGAACAATTGGGTAAGAACGAAGATCATCAAGCTGCATATCTCGAGGGCTCTTGGAAATTAGGCTGTGGTTCTTGGCTGCACTACCATAGAGCTCAAGCGCCATCGTGGGATGGAGGACCGAGTACCATCCTATGCCCTGAAAACTCCAACCCTAGCTCTACAACTAGAGTCTCCAGGTGCGCCATTCTTGTTGCATGCTTTTCTAAAATTGCAATTGTTGATGGCTTTGACGACCCAGAAGTAGTTATCGTAGTGGTTACACTCGGCATATCCGTTGTCGTAAACATATGGGTCGTTACCACATACGGTAAGCGTGGCGTCGCTATTTGGTGTTCCATCAGCGTTGGTGCAGTGACAGTACTTGTACGTATCACAAGCTTAACTGGCCAGAACCAAGGCTAGAACTGAGAAGACGACTGATGGCTTCATGATGCATGAATATGTGTTGCTGGATATGTTAGCTACAAGCCCATATGATTAGGGTATATTTGGGATTGAGACTGAATATACCGTCAACTGGGTCTTGTGTGATATGCTTCTTTTGATGAGCGGTGCTATGTTGGAAAGGGCTCTTCAAGTCTAAATGGCTTCATAACCACCATAAACTGAGATTCTGGGAACAACATTCTTATACAGTTGAACTCGCTGGGACTGGCGTCTGTGGAGAGCGCGGGGTTCTTATCGGTGTGACCGATCCTGCGATGTGAGTGTCACAATCTAAGTTGAGTTCCTGTAGTGTATTCGTATTGCGAAACCTCAGAGAGGTGTCCACCACCTTGTCTTTCACCTGGCAAAGCCATCCATTAGAAATGGAAACAGACAAGAAAACGTCCGTTTAAACAGGAATCGGAAAGATTTGAACTTTAACTCGAAAATGGGCAGTCATCGGAATCCTCTTTCCCGAACTAGCTAGAATAGGCGAAGAATAGAATGCACGGTGGCTCCATCAGTCGATTATGGTTACTGGAGGATCCACTATCACCTTCATACACCTTTACCTCTTTCTCTAAAAACTAAGAGCAAAAAGATCTCTTATCCATAATTAAAACCAATAAACCATGCGTCGCCCATTCGAACACTTGCAATCGCGGGCTACGGTGGGCAGGTAAATAAGTGCCATACAAAGAAACCAGTGGGACAAAATCCAAAAACATACAACACCAGGTATTCGCTGATCGTCACCGACTCAACTACTAATCCGGCCCTCATTGGCTTGTCTATGGGAGAGCGGACGGGATCCCGAATTTTCCAATCGGTATGGTCGTATGTGCTTGGATAGGAAACGCAGCCCGGTCATGTTCCAAGTCATTTGAGTTTGGGTGTCGGCTTCTGTGCCTGATGCAGGGTTGGGCTTCACACGCTCATGACCTTCGGCGAACGATTGCTCGAGTACCTTGATTAGACAGAAAGGTCAACTTTGGGGGCGTAGTGAAGTTGGCTCAGTACCCACGATGTGCAGGGTTGGTTGAGGTTATTATCTCCAGCCGCGGCGTCAGTCACCCAAGCTAGCTTCGTCAAGTTGATTGAGGACATGATGAGTGTCGAATCGAGTAGGTTCTTGACAACTTGTGCCACACCAATGGTGGGATAGATGAATTTGGCCGGGGAAGGGGGAGATTGCCTGACAGTGGAAGTCAACACACGGGAGTAGAATTACCTAGGCCAGGGTTTGCAGAGAACTCGGTTTGGTTTTTGATTCATGCTGGTGTCGAGTGATACTGTTTCAAACATAAATCAACTTATGTGGCGTTGAGATAGCAAGCTCCACACGTAAGCAGTGCAAAATGACATGGTGACATCTTACATCAAGTTAATACGAAGTTCTGCGGATGCGTGCATAGCTATCACCTGCCCCGTCACGAGTCTCATTGACACACTATGGGACTCGGGCCACGGCGTATCATTCAAGCTGAACAGTGTCGAATACCATGGGCTTACAAACAGCTGAGAGTATTGTAGTTATAGCCTAAGCGAAGCTGATCCAAAAGCAGCGGTGTTACGCATGGAATGAAAGAGAATCCTAAACCATCGTGATACGCGACATACCGAAGGAACAGCTGCTAAACATTTACAAAGCTATAAAGAAGACGCAACTCTATTTTCACGATGTTTTACGACTCCTACTAACCGAAGTTGACTTGTCGAATGTATTCTGAGATAGTTCAATCTGTAATATAATGATATCTAAAGAGCCACTTATCCATCAAACCAACTGAAATGCGCTCGCATTCCACCCGTAAGCCTTTAGCAATCTCTGGTCAAGTATTACAGGCGTTCGACCAGAGACTTCCGACTTGTAGGGGTGTTTGATAGTAAGCGGCAGCTCTGCAGTTGCCTCGTCTGCAATGAAGGAAGTACAGATCCATAGACCTCGACGAGAACCTGATTCATTCCAACGAGTACTCTAAATCTTCCCATATGATCCGCTTCCCGGGATTGGAGTTCCCAAAGAGCTTCGTGAAGGTTTCAAACGCAAGCGAGTCGACTGGAATCGAGAGATAGAATCCGGTCCTGTCTAGTTCAGTAGCATCCTTGTTGCTCCGAATGATATCATAGAGCTTCATAGGCTCAGTCGGGTCTTTAGCGTTCTCCTCTGCCCAAATTCGGCGGAGCCCAATAGCTCCTCCCTAGTCTTGGGCGTTTCGATTGGTAGAGGTATCCAATCCATCTTCCCTTTGACCTTGGCGTCTTCGTGCTACTCGCCAAAGTAGGACCCGCAGTCATCCCACATATCACTGTACAGGTCGCTCATATTAGCACCGGCCTTAGCAACAAGAAATCCGTCGAGACACTTCAAAGCCCCTTCTGTTTTGTTTTGCCTTGCTCTTTGAGCTTGCTAATGGGGACGGCAAATTCGCTCAGGTCGAGATCCTTCTTGAGTTCGGTAATTTCAGCTTCAAGATCCTGGGCCCGGATAATGAACATCTGGTCCTGCGAGAAAGAGAAGGCATCGGGATAGCCTTGGTCGCATTCTCTATAAAATTGACGATGATTGCAAGGCTTCCCAGCGAGTCGACCACTTCCTCAGAGAACTTCCCACGTTCGACGGGTATCTTTTGGTACAAATCCCCCAGCTTCTTGAGACACGATTGTGGCTCAGTACTTCGATCAAACAACGATCCTTGATCTGTTGTACTGCTAGAAATATAAAATCTGGAGGCCGTAACTGTCGCCCCAGGTGAGGCCCTAATCCTTTCTATCGTAGATATAGGATAAATCTTGTACAACAGTGATATCCCATGTCATAAGTATGGATACTATCTGAAATTTAAGTTGAGAAATGTCTCGTGGGTATCCAAACCGCCTCATATTTAATCCAAGTCACCTTCCGTTGAGACAACTCATGTTGAACTAAGTACTTTACCATCATTGTGTGATTCAGAACTCATCAACATCCTTGTTGGGCCCACCACAGAGAATCTTCCCATCGCGAACCCATTGAAATAGGCAAGATCCACACGGACTTCTGCTTTCAAATGAGTTAAGCCCAACCAATTCAATTCTCCGAGTAGTCTCATCATGAAGAACATCAAATGACAATCACTGGTCTTTAAGTAGATTGTCCGTGGGATCCTTTAGTTTTAATATTTCTATGATGGAATCTCTGATGATCTGTGATCCCTCATAAATGATCTCAATATGCTGGACTTGTTCGAGGCCAGAGCGTTTGGAAAGCTTCCACGGCCTGTGCCAATGATACTGACTGGTTGCCGTGATCCTACATTCTTTGGTCGGCAGAAAACCCGGCACTCCCGCTCAGCTGTCATTTGTATATCGAATGGCAAGTAGAATAGCTCGATCGACCTCTGACTTTTTTCGCATACCTCGAGAGCAGCTTGGAAACGGCCGGAGGTGACAATGCGAAGAATAAACTTGTCGATGGTATGTAAGGACTTTCTGTCTGGAATGATTTGGGCTCCAGCTTTGGGCGAACAGTCATCAAGGTGGACGAATAAGCCTTCAGGCAAGAAATGGAGATGAGAGAAAGCGGGAGCTATCTCGTCGGCCAAGTCTTCCGCAAGTGTTAGGTTAACACGGTCGATCTGAAATGAAGCATTGCATGCTTGGAGCAAGAGTCGTGTTTGTGAATCGGTGAGTGAGACTTGCTGTACTGCGGAAGGCGACAGGTCGCGCGATTGGAGGATAAGTGTTAACCATCTTTTATATGAGTAAGGCGAGTTGGATATTTATCGCAGATCGGGGTCGTCAATATCGGAGTGGAACGACGTGTTGAATTGTGTTGGGTGTCCTGTAGAGATGTCGGCCTGGACTTGCGCGTAGTCGACGACTTTCTAAACCCACTTCATCACGGCGGATTACGTCGCGGCAGGGCGATTTGGCGGGAGTTCAGTATTAGGTAGCGTTTTTGAGGCGTATTTACAATCTTCTAAGACTAACTTAAAGACTGGTGCACTGCCCCCGAGGATTGTCAAAAACAGCAGAAGGGATGTGTCAGCCCGGAACAAGCAGAATTTGAAGCGGAATGGAATGATGTGACAACGGCCATTCAATTATTTTTTCATCTTTTTCCGCAAATATGCTGGAGATAAGGTTCCTACTCACTGCGGTGGGAGCAAACAATGAGAGCGTATTCCTACAAATGGGCGCTCGACTGTCATCGGAGATACTATGGGGTGCATATCGCGCAAAGAACTTGTTTCCTCGGACAAATCCTCATCACAAGGTTTGTTGTCCACAGACCTCGGCATCGAGATATTAGCCCCTCTAGTGAATGAGACAGAGATGAAGATGACATTCTCTGGCGAGAGTTCTTTGTTTCAGCTCTTTCTGATGATCTGTTGAACACATGGGCGATAGACAGTAGGAACACTGGTCTTCATGGGCTGCAACCCGTAGCATTATCGGATCGCTATGTTGTCCCCCTTCCTCTTTATTTGTGAGAATTGTGGAAGAAGAATTGTAGAAGAGTGATATGCAAGTCACGTAAGCCAATGCTCTCCAGTTCGGACAGATGGAGTTGCCTAAGTTTTCTACTACTTTACATCGCATCTTCAACGTCAAGGGGCGGAAAACATCAGTTTGATAGCTCATCGATGAGGCAACAGTTCAAATTCGGGTTATGTTCGTGGAAGCACTTGAGGAGCTCTTGACTGCGGAAAAACCTAGGGGGAAACCTGAAGTCACGCGCTGCTCCTGAGTCGCGTCAGGAGCAGGGCACGTTCAGGTCATCAACTTGACAAATATTTAGGGGTTTAGTGGTTCCACTCGCTTCTTCGGCGCACCCCTTTACAAACTCTAAAAGCCAGAAACTCTTGGGTTCAGCCCCTGATACTTGAGTAGAATGCCGTTCAAGGTTCGAGAATGCAATCTATATCGAACTTCCTCATACGCTGCAGCCGCTGACACACCAACTCACCAGAGTTTGTGCCGACTATAATTCGGATTTAGCACGGACTTCTATAAATGCGGCCCAATTTCTCGAATTACTGAACCAGAGAACTTTGATACTTTTCACATCTCCAAGTCACATTACGTCTCTCCTCAACAGATACTCGACAGCATCATACCCCCCGAAACCTTAGTTCAAAATGCAATTGCCTACCATTCTCTCGGTGATTCTTTCCATGGCTCTTGTCGGTCAGGCAGCTGCCCAGAAGTCCTACTGCAGAGCCTTTGCCAACAATAACGTAAGCTTATGGGTACCCTGGAAAATGATTCAAACTTTCTCACATTCCCGACAGCTGTCAAACGCTGCGTGCAGAGGCATCGAGGGAGTTTGCACGACGGCTTGTCCGCGTGAGGTAAGTGATTTGCTCACCTGAAAAGATGCACGGTAAAGTTGTCGCGTAACATGTGCTGACATGAAGGAAAGTGCGGAGCTGGTTTTGTGCTTCAGAGTGTGAACGAGGCTGAAGGCAAGTGCGGCTGTTTCTGCAAGAAATAGAGACTCGTGTAGGACCCATAAGCTGCATTTGGTTTTCATCGATTCATACGATACAAATACGTAGTACAAGCATAGCAAGAATATATTGTCAAAATTCCCTCCTTCGAAGCCTGTCCCATGTCAAGGCGGACCGTCTGACGGCTCTTCTTACAAACTCAGCTCACAACGCCGTGTCATCATATCTCATAGAGAAGCACCAACATCAACCAAAACCTTGACTTGGTTGTCCTTATCCGTAATCAACGCCTTGATACCATGTTCTACAAGATCGTCCAATGGAATCTTCCTCGTGATCATGGAGGCAGGTTTGAGGGCTCCTAACGACCTATAAGTAAGTAGCGGTTCGTGTGAACGGGATATTCGAGACTCCTTACCTGTTTTCAAGTTCTCAATCACGGCCTGATAATCCTTCTTCTGATATCCAAGTACAGACTTATACGAGCTTTCTCTCCACGTTACCCAATTTGGGTTGAAGGGAATTTCCTTCTCCCAGATCGCAACATTGATGACCGTGCCGCGTGTCTTGACGGCCATGCACGCAGCTTTGACACTATTCCAAGTGTTAGCAAAAGAACTGCAAGAAAAATGGACGGACTACACACCTAGCCGGTACACCTGCGCAGTCAAGCGTGACATCAGCGCCAATGCCACCAGTAATCTTCATCACCTCCTCCATAACATCTTGGCTCTTGGGATCAATGATGTGTGCTGCTCCAAACTCCTTTGCGAAATTTTGCCTGGCGGTGGCAATCTCCGCTACCATGATATTCGAAACCCCCTTCGCCTTCAAACACAATACAGCGGCCAGCCCGATCGGACCGCCTCCCATCACCAAAACATTGGACTCTGACGTGACAGTAGTGGCAGAGACGGCATGCCAAGCTACCGAAAGCGGCTCCACCAAGGCGCCCAGCTCGAGAGGGATGCCCTCGGGCAAAGGGAAGACCTGATCCGCGGGCACCGACACCGCCTCGCTCAGGCCGCCACCCCAGCCGCTCAGTCCGATGAATCCGCCTGTGTGGCACGCATTCTCGGCACCAGCCTTGCAAGCAGCACACTTACCGCAGTAGATCGTAGGCTGCACGGCGCAAGGGAGGCCGATTTTGAAATGCTCCTGCTTGACTTCTGAGCCTATCTCCTTGATGATGCCAGAGAATTCATGGCCAAGCGTCACGGGGATCTGGTCGCCTGTGACTGGATGTCTAGAGGCGGGGCAGAAGTTAGGGCCGCCGAGGTATTCATGGAGATCTGTCCCGCAGATACCGACGAATGCCGGGGCAATCTGGGGAAAGGTGAAGTGCGTGTCAGTGTCAAGTCTGAACTCCAAAAGTAATGTTACAGTCCCTCCATCTTCCCCGCGCGGGGTAGATGCCGGGCGGACTATGTACTTAGGAGGATACACTGGGGAAATCTCACTTTGATCTGATTAGGGCCACATGGTGGCTCTGGAACCTGTTCGATCCTGATATCTTCCTTGCCGTAATATCTTGCAGCTCTCATGGTGGTAGGTGTAAGTGTTGCTATCGAGTTTTGTTCGGAAAAAATTGTTACTTATGGTAGTCAAAGTGATGGGTGGGAACATGATGCGGAAGCTTGAAGATGGAGAGTCGCGCTTATGTAGTTGAAGGATGGACGAACGGAAGCCCGGTAAGTGACGACGTACTGTGCTTTCTCCTCTCGTGGCGTTACTTTGTCGTCCCAAAGTTCCCGGTACCGAAAGTGTGTCGGTATCACTGCGGAAATAATGTCAGTCGGGTCGTCGTATGATCACCAACTGCATTGAGCACTTCCCACTGCCCCGCACTGTCAGGCCACGTGCTTAGTGGCTGCCATCAGGGATTCTTTCTTGTTTGAGGTCTTGCTGGGAGACTAGGCGCGTCGTGAGGAATATGATATCCGACTGATGCGTGCTTTATGGATGCGTGTCCATATATCATCATGGCTAGCATAGTTTCCTTATTTGATTCACCTTACCACCCAATGTGGAGCGGGATCCTTGCTAACCATGCCGGCCTTAAAGCGACGCTTGAGGTGCAACAACTTGGGTAAATTTGAACTCAAGCACTGCACGAGACCTTAAATAACTTCAGGACCTCACTTCATCTCTCTGCCTATCAGGCCGATTGTGGCGCGCCCGCAAGGAACTGTCACGTCTGGAATTGAAACTACAACAAGGTGCGAGGAGAAACGATTCCAAGTCGACGATTGGGGGACAACAGTCACGATCAGGTGTAAGATCCAGGTTTAAGATCCGTTGTTACCCTGAGGTTTATCATTCTGTATGATGAGTTAGGCACCCTTCAATATCAAATTCCTAGAAACATTCCATCATCATGATAAGTCTTTCCCTGTTACTTCGTCGCTGTGCTCGAAATCAAGGGTATCTTTAGCCGCTCCTGGCCTATCCACTAACGTCGCTGCGTAAGCAACTACTTCAGGTACTTTAGTTATCCAGTCTGCCCTACAAGAACAACCCTCAGACTCCACCTAACGCCCAAGTGTTTCCGAGCTTGTTTCTGCTAAGGGCGATCTTGGAAATCTCCTTGACTGCGTGCATGCAGAAATCAGTATGTGATTGTGCAGAAATTCCAAGCGATGGACAATGCTGGGGAGCAGAACACTTACAGTCTTTCCAGGTCATGGGGTCCTTGGTTTCATCAGCTGACTGCCTCCAGAGCCTCGCCATCCAGCTTGTTACCAACAGGTCCAACTCCTTGTGGTCCATAGGGAGTATGACATCCAACTGGGGCATGCTTAATAGTTTCTTTTCCTTGTCTCTCTTTGCGACTGACTCAATAGCGACAACTTCTCCCTTCATGTTTTTCCAGTGGATCTCATCTTGGTGCTTCATCTGGTGCACCGCGCTATCGCCGGCCTTGAAGTGATCTTTTACCTTCCACCCAGAGACGCCGGGCATCAGGTAGACTTCCTTATATGTTCTCTTAGAGCTCATCTGACCCTGAATAACCGTGACATCGTTCAGCTGCATACTGAAGCTTTCGAGTCCCTTGAGTGGGTCCTGTGTGAAGTCGTAGATGTGGTCCAATCTGGTTCTCACTTTGTCGCTGCCAGCTTCTGAAGAGACTCTGTAAACCACTTTTTGAACTCCATACACCAATGACTTTGCGTCAGTCACAACGTTGCTCAGCTCATAGAGCGCGCGAGGTGGTGAGGTATGGGCGAAGATTGTCGTTTTATCCAGGAACAAGGTTGGTGTTTCTCCACAGCTGAGCTGTGCCCTCGAGTCGCTTACGGTGTTGTCATAAGTTGGCGGTTCCACGTCAACATCAAGCATGGAGGGTTTTGTTGTCATTTTGAGCGATGGGTGTGAGTTGCGATTGCTGGTTGGGTTGTTTTGGTTTTCGCTAGTATGGTGCAGTCCCAGCTGTTACTGAAAAACGAAGTTAAGAGGTAAATGCTGTGTAGTCAAAGACTTCGCGTTGGGCGTGCCTCGGCGTGGGGTGTATCACCCTCAAATAAGGCACTCATGCGCTCCTCCTTTCTCTCCACTGCAAGCGATTGTAACATCTTCGCCAACGTAAGGAACAATCATAAGTGGCTGAGCAGAGCTCGGAATGAGGCCACGCCCAGCTCAGGTGTTGTCACCCGCTGCAGCCAAGGAGAACGGTGCGCCCTGTAATAAGGGGTCTCGTTCTGGAAGCTGACTAGGCACCTAAATTCGGGCTCTAAAATGGGCCATGATTTACAGGCCTTTTAGGTCATTGGCGGTGTCGTCGCGAAGGATGTGCAACCTTGTCTCGGAGAAGCCTTGATGGAGTCTTGGTTAGTAAGGCAGAGCGGCACAGCCACTGCTGCTGCGGTGCCCTGTGCTCCGACTAAAGGCTTGGGGGAGATTATGTTCGGCTCCGAGGACAGATATGTTACGTCACACGCATTGCATTGTGGTGTAGGTAGCTGAATGTTTCCTCTTGTCAGAAGGCGATGTTTCCCCTCGATGAGAGACCTGAAATTTTGGATCGCAACCCTGTGCAGATCTCAACTGTAAAGCCGCCGGAAGGGCTTATGATCTTCACCGGCGCGAAGAGAGGCTGCCCCTTCAGGCAACGACGTTTAGGTAGCTCATGAGCTTCACCAAAGTCATGAAGATGCATGCCCTCTGTATATCGTATCATTCATTTTCCGTGAAAACTCCCTTCGGCTAGACCTTCGGAGTCCATTTAAGTTGATTGCGTGGTACGGAGGATGAATGGAGGAGACAAGTCTTGTGCCTAGGTGATCCTCTGAGCGCATTACATAAGAAATCTCTCCGCTCTGACAATGGCTGTTGTTTGGACTGATGGAGCATGAAGGCCCAGGAGGACATCCAAATATACATCTCCTGAGGAGCCCCCCAAAACGATCAGGTGTGAACATGCCATATGACATGTAAATTGTGGTAAACTGCTGGCTCACCCGTTCTCAATTTACGTGACCGTTTTCATCGGGGGTCTCTCGCTAGCTATTCCGCCTCTGGGGGAAGCATGGGCCATCTATGAAACAAGCGTGACGAAAGACGACGAAAATGTACACCTGCATCCTTTGTTGAATTCTGACCTCACCAACTTCGCTATCCCCAGACGGTTCAACCACAAGTACCAAATGCTACAGAAAGTCATCACCAAGTCGCCGCTGAGATTGCTCACTCCGAAATCAAGACGCGTGTCGGCCGCGTCGGGTAGAACAAACGCGCTCAATCTCTCAACGCGTCTCAGTACCGCCTCGCCACACACCGCAACTTCCAAGACGACCGCTCGCAAAGATACAGTGGAAACGAAATCGCCCGCCAGTGCCAATGCACAGTCGGAAAAGAGGAAGAAGACTATAGCAGAGCAGGATGAGGAGCTGCGATTGAAGCTCGAGGGCATCTCAGGAGACGGCGGCGCATCTGGGGTTGAGTACGAAGGCGGAAAGGCCGAAGGATTGAAAAGAGGTGTCAAAGAAAACATGTTCCGGGTCATATAATCTCACCAAACACTTCCATAGCAGAAAGTCGGAATTCCGGAAAGCTAGCCCCTGGGGTCCATTAGTTTCGCCTCCCTAGCTTCAACTGACCAGCCTGCGGTTCATGCCGGCAGCCGACAAAATATAGCTGTTAGTGCTTCCGTTGCGATTGAGCAGCCTCATGCATGCGTCTTTGCCTCACTTTACTTTCTTTGGGCAGTCGAAGCAGGTTAAGGTACGCTGGAATGAATACCGTCACAAGAAAATTACTCCTATCTTACTATTTGCTAAGGAGCTGTCAATTTGTCGTGTTGTTAATTCATGCATAAGTACTTACCTTGGGGAATTGAACTCCTCGTCACTGGTGGTTTTGTGGATATGTTGTATGTCTGAATGGCTCTCAAGTACTCAAATGCTTCACATTCAATGCTGACACACGAGCGATGCACAGGATCGCCATAGTTTGCATCTTCTCAAAGAGTCTGAATCCACCCGGCCATCTAAATCTTAAACGTAGATGATCTACTTGGCGTGAAATTGTTTCAAAGCCATGAACAGGGTAAAGGCTGCGCCTCCTAGATATCGCTGGGAACAAACAGTTGCCCCTGGAAGATATATCTCGCAGTGCGGACGAAACCCAAAACGCTGAAAGCAGGCAACTTTTCCCCTTGTCCCGCAGCTATGGTTTTAACAGACATTGGGAGATGGCCCGCGGGATGTTGGATTTTGAGAGTGCCACAGGCTAATGTGGCAGGACTCAACAGACGATTGAGGACTGAACCTTCAATCCGGCTGGCAGCAGTCGTACAAACCCCTCCTGTTCCGGCCATACTTGGGTGACAATGATTATCAAGAAACAGGCGCGCTTGAATATGTCCCTCTTCCGACGTTGGCTTTGAGACCAAGGCAACCATCGGAAGCATCGGGGACTGTTCATCAACCTGATTCCAGGCTTTGCATTTGCCAAGCTTCTCAGATATCCGTCCTCTAACTTCTCGGACGCGAGCGATGAGCTCAGAATTGCTGTCAATGGCGCTCACTGTCTCGTTGCCTTGGATGCCGAGGTCTTGCGCAGCGATGAACGCGATAGCATTGCCAACTTCGCAGTACGTAGCTTCGACTGTGCCAAATGTGCATTCGAGTTTATCTATCGGGTTGCCAGTGGGTAGCATTCGTTCAGGTGTTGCTGTCTGCGGCTGGATTCAGCATCGCAACGTTCAAGTTGAATCTGGCTCTACGACCAAACCTACCTGTGAATAGTCCATTAAAATAGGAGCACCGGTCCCGGGACATCCAGATATCGAATAGTCACCCTTCTCTAGTGCTCGCCCATTTGAAGCATCAATCGGAACATGGGCAATCAAAATTGCGCTTGTCCCAGTGTTGTAGATTTTGACCACTCTCTTGCGATTCTGCCAATTGTCTGTTCTTAAGAGTCCCTCATTGATTGCGAAAGGACCAACACCAGCCGAAATATTCCCACAATTAGCACCGTATGAGACGGTTGCTTCATCGAGACCGACTTGAGCAAATGTGTAGTCAACGTCTGCATCAGGTCT